GGTTTATTAGAAAATAAATGTAGCCTGTAAAATGAAATGCATATTGTAAACCTCATTAATTGGGACCAGAGGGACGGTCAATAAGAACAGTAGAATGTTGGGAAAGAAAAGCAATATTGCTAACTTTCCAAGCTTTACAATTGTATGTAGCCTAGCAAAATACTAAGAGGCAGTGCCTGGCATAAAATCAGGGCTTAACAAATGCTACTGCATTAATTCAAATTTCTATATAACCCACTTCTATTGCAATTACACTCTTATTAAAGCAGTAAAGTTCTAATTAACGAGGTTTCACTACATTTCTAATAATGAGGTTTTACTACATTTGAGAATTCATATTTTAAACAATGCTTGTCAAACAACAAAATATTAATTGAATACAAAAATCACTTTTTTTCTCCCTTAGAGGTAAGACTATTTTCTGATGCTTACAGTCAATTAATTAGGGTACATTAAATTAAAATCTGATTTTTCAATGCTACTTCACATCCTTTTTGTCTCTTTTTTATACTAATTCCTGCTTTCTGAATATGTTCTTTGAATATGAAATAACTTTATCTTATCCAAACAAAAACAGGAAATTAAAAATAAAAATAAAAGACCTGAGTGTCCTAGGTAAAAATAACAGTTCCTAAGCTACAATGAAAACAGAAGTCAGAGGCTTTGAAACTCTCAGTGTCTGTTCGCAAATGTTACCTAACTTTATAAGGTTAAACAAATATATTCAAATCAATAACATATGAAGGCCATCAGTGTAAAAGAAATCAGCAAAAGGTGCCTTTAGAAAACTGGGTCTAAAGTCTTCTAGTGGCATTTAAATTACTGCAATGTAGACCTGAGCTAAAGGAACATGAAGTGAGAAATATGTATATTAAGTAGACAAACAAATGAGACATCATATTAAATTTCACATTATCTTGAGTGTTTTAAGAAGTTATTATTGAATATACACTTTGACAACAATAACAAAAAACTTGCCATACACTCACCATGTGAATTACCACATAGTGCGTGTATACCAAGTTCAAGGGAAGATACAGTGTAATATTTTAGCTGCCAGTACTGTTCATCTCAAAAGACTGAAGGCCTAGAGCATCCCCTGGCAGATAAATTTGGCCCCCCCAAAAAATATAACCCTTCCCAATTTTTCTTGAGATGTGATTAAATAAACCAGATATTCCCAATGTAATGAAGACTCATTTCAAGCAATTACTCTGCTTACAAGTTTTATTTACACAGTAATTGTTATGAGTGGCTTTTAGTGAATTTCTTATATTTACATTTTATATACATTTATACTTGAAAGGTAAAGAAACTGTACAATAATAAAAAATAAGAATGAGAAACATAGTAACTTAGGTCCAACTCAGAAAACAAATACATGAAAGTAAGATTAAATTTAGGCAGGTAGTATAACCTCAATGAGATTACTGCCAGGGGTTAAGTTTCCTCTATTGGGAACACCAATACCAAGGAAGTAGTTACCAGAGTTAAAAGGTCATTCTAAAACCTAGTAAGACCATGAACAATCCCTCAAGTTTTCCCAAAGAAAGCCCCTATGACAGAAGTTACCTTTTGAGAATTCCACTAGTAGTCCCTAGACTATAATGACCTATGGAGTAAAAATATATGGGCACATTTCTGGTCCCATACTCCTAAAGAGGCAGTTACTACACTAACAAGGATCTCAGGCTTGTTAGTTTCAACATTCTATATCACTAACTGGAAATAGTGTGCTTACGTGTTGTTTCAAACCAAACTGCAACATAAAAAGACATTACAAATCTATTAACCAAACAGCATGTTATACAGGTAACATTCATAATACTCAAGTGATTTAGTTTAGGTTCAGAAATTAAAACATAATAAATTTAAAGCCAATTTACCAATGATTAATAATTTATGTGGTTTTTAAATATAATTTATTTATCCACAATGCCATCAAAGTTAAATCCAGAAAAAAAGTTAATTTTACCTTTTATTCTTATTTCCACTGATTAGAAAAATTATGCATAGTGTTTTATAAGTCACATATTTAGCAGCACATTAAGATTTCAAATTTTAAACTGGAATTAACAAATTTTGTTTCCATACAGACAGTGGAGGAATTTCAACTAAAAAATGTAAAGACTTGCCATGTAGCATGCAATTTAAGAACTCTCAGAATTCATTATTACTTTCTACTCTTACCAGTGAAAAACCTCTTTTATATTTTTGAACTTACTCCCAAAGTCACCTCTTCAGTCCACTAAAGTGCAAAAAACTTTCCTTCTACCAGTTATTTATAGTTTGTTCAATGTTAAGTACTAGATTAACAATTTGTTAGATCAGAAAAAGAAAGGCTAAAATTTCTTTAAGTGATAGAAATTCCTTGAGAAAAAAAATTTCCCTTCATAAACAAATAGACTGTGGAAAAATACCTAAAAAACAATAAACAATATCCCACCAGTATTTCCAGTTCCCAGATAACCCAAATTTGTCCCAACCTATGAATGAAGATAAATGACATCTTCAGCGACTTAAAAAATGTACAACCAAAGTTGCTTATTCTTGGTCTAGAATATCTTCAAAAGGTCAGAACTGGAGATAATACCTGTACTATAGAGTACTTTAGAGGCTACTTAGCCTAAAGTAAAGTAGGTCAAGAACCCTACTCTAACCTCAAAAGTGCTTTTGTGGCAATTGTTACAAAAGAAAATATGTAAAAATCTGAAGTATCTCCAAAGCTATTTTTAAAAATTTATTGCATTAAACTGTTTACTCCAAATTATGGAGTATGAACTAGCCACTAAAACTTTTTACTTTCAATGGGAAGCATAACAAAATGCCATCTCTATCAAAAATATTATTAATAAAATTAGCCAAGCATGGTGATGAACACCTGTAGTACCAGCTAGTTAGGAGGCTGAGGCAGCAAGATCGCTTGAGCCCAGAAATTCCAAGCTGCTGTGAGCTATGATATCACCAGTGCACTCTGGCCTGGGTGACAGAGCGACACTTTATTTTTTTTTAATCTGTATGACCTAAGAGTAGGACTATTTTGATTCTGCTAGCTTAATGAAAATCCAGGGTGTAGTTCCTTCAAATGAAAAATCAACAGAACTAAAAGAAAACCACTATGAATGACACACGGTAGAAACTGAACAATGGAAAACAAAGTTAGTACACTACAAAAGGAAAAAAAGAAATAACATCTCAGAGCATCGAAAAGTTGAATGGGAATAAGAACCTAGAAAGAGATCAACCTTAAAGCACAAAGAAGAGAAGAAATGCTGGTATGTTGTATGAAAATATTAAGAACTCGTTAAAAAGAAAGGAAGACAAGTGCAGGAAAGAAGCTGAAGTGAGAAAACAACTTAAACAGACGATCAAAACTCAAGATATAGAATGGAGGACTTTAAGAAACAATTTGACTGTAATCCCAGCACTTTGGGAGCCCATGGGTTGGAGACCCATCCAGGCAACTTGGTGAGACCTCGTCTCTACATAAATCAAAAATTAGCTGGGCGTGGTAGCGCATGCCTGCAGTTCCAGCTACTTCGAAGGCTGAGGCAGAAGGATCGCCGGAGCCCAGCACACTGCACTCCAGTCTGGGCGACAGAATGAGACTCCAACTCAAAAAAAAAAAAAAAAAGAATTTGAATCAGGTTCCTCACAGTAAGTAATGAAAAAGAAAACGATCTGCTACATGAAAATTACATATTGCAGGATGAAACTGCCAAGCAAAAGCTGGAAACAGACACAATAAAAAGGTAGAACCAGAAAAAGGAAAAAATATTTTGAGGACATTGAAATTGTAAAACAAAAGAACGATGACCTTCAAAAGATTATAAAAGTCAATGAGGAAGCATCAACAAAAACAATCCACTATAGCGAACAGTTCAGTGTTCTAAGAGCCGTGAATACAATACTAAATTCTAGACTGGATCATAAAAAACAACAAAAGGGAAGACTGGAAACCAAAGTTGACTCATACTGCACTTAGTTGGCTGCTGCTATACATGATCGGGATCAAAAGGGAGACATCACAAAATGACTTAAAACTTGTTTACCAGAAAGAGCGAGATGACAGGAATCATCTTAAGGACAATATGAATGTTCAGATTCAAATGTTTCCTCAACAACTTTTTAAAGCTAAAAGTAGCCTTGAAGTTGAGCTCTATCACACAAGAGATGCTCTCAGAGAAAAGGCTTTGGTTTTAGGAGGTGTGCAAATAGAAGCCAAATAAAATGTCAAATAAAGGAACTGAATCAGCAAAACCAAAAGTAACAAGGCAACGTGAGTAAAGACACTAAAAAGGAGGAGTCTGCAGTGGAGAGGTTATCCCAACTTCAAAATGAAATTAGGCTGCTTTGAAAGCAACCGGATGATACTCACAAAAAAAGGACAGTAAAGACAATAATTGATGTCCAAGGGCAATTTCATGCTATGGTGGAAAAACTTCAAGCTGAGAGAGGTCATTACAAAGAAAAAAATCAATCTGAAAAAGAGAAAAAAGAAAGAGAATTTCCAGATGCACAGGAGCAACTCACAGAGTTTGGAAGATATGTTGGGAAGATGGAAGATTAGATGAAAAAGCCTGAAATAGAAAATATCAAGTTAAAACTTATAATCAATAAGCAAATGGATGCAGTCGAGGAGCTTCGAAAAATTCTGTTAAGTACATATTCGACACAAGTAGCGTCTCAAGACAAATTACAGCAGTTTAAAAACGACAGTACAGGCCAGTCGGGCAAAGTGGCTCATGCCTATAATCCCAGCACTTTGGGAGGCCACAGTGAGAGGACTGCCTGAGCTCACAGGTTTAAGACCAGTCCGGGCAACTTGGCAAAACCTCATCACTATAATTAAAAAAAAAAAAATTATCCAGGCATGGTGGCGAGTGCCTATAGTTCCAGCTACTTGGAAGACAGGCAGAAGGAGGTCGCCTGAGCCCAGCAGGTCGAGGCTGTGGTGGCCATGAGCATGCCACTGCACTCCAGCCTGGGCGACAGAGTGAGACTCCTAATCAAAAAAAAAAAAAAAAAAGGACAGTACTGCTTCAATAAAAAGTCAGCAAGAGCTCAGAATAAAAGATCTGGAATCTGAATTCTCCAGAATGAAAATTTATGGAGAAAAGTATAATAAAACAGCATTGGAGAAACATAATGAAATCTGTCTAGAAGAATTAAAACACAGTTCTTATCAAGTTTTTGTTAAGTCAACTACCCAGTAGGAAGTCAAAGAACTCAACAGAATCACACCAATCTCAAACCTACAGACTTCAAATAACAGCACAAAGAATGACAAGGACATGACCAAGCTTTTGCTGAATTTGAATCTGGATCCTGTATAGCTTCTTATCTTGAAGTTACTTATGAGTCAAATCTAAACAAGATATGTACCAATTTTAAAGAAAAAATATATGATCTGAAAGATAATAAAATATCATTACTGGGATGTTTACATGTTAGTTGTTTCCCATTACATATATGATATGTGAAAATCTTTATGAAAGGAAATGACTTTTGTATTTAAAAAATCTTTTTACTTTGAAAAATGGCTTCCCCTACAAAATACTTTTTTATTAATACTGTCAATAAGTTACTTATTTTATTTACTTCAGTCATGAAATTTGAAATCAGCAGTTTTCCATCTCTTGATTCTTTTAAATGTCTCCATTTTCTTCCATGCCTTTTACATAGGAAACAAAAAACTTTTACCCAAAACCATTTGTATACTTCAATTAGTCTGTCAATTTTGAAGATTAGCTTTTCAAAGCAGGACTACTGTTCTTGTCTCCTTCTTTAATGTCCTTCATTACAGATGCAAAGACCTGAAAATTATTTAAAATAAAGATTAATCTTCAAAAACTACCACCTAAAGAGATTTAAATAACTATACTTTATAAACATGAAAAAGCTTTAGTGTACTTAACTCTGTCCTCTGAAAGATTGCCATTCTCAAATCCCTTTTTGTCAAACCCCATTTTATAAAATAATATTAGATTCCAATTTTCATCATTTGTCAAATATTTTGAAATTACCATTTGGTAACAGAATATTTTCTGAACCAATGAGTATTCCCTCATTGCATTTTGATAAGCAATAACACTGTGAACTTATAATGCCAACTGTTTATATCATTCAAGGATCAGGTGATAATGCTAGCTTTTCTGTTACATAACTTCAATGCCAGTATCTTTGCTTTCCTAACAAGATTAAGCATCTAAAAGGCAGGATAATACATCATATATTCTTTCTACTGAAAATATTGAGGGCACAGAAGGCATTTATAAAACTGATTTTTATCTGAAATACCAAAGTAATTAACTGCTCTGGCAAATAAATGACTATAGCTGGTTATACTTCACTAAACTCATAAAATATTACTAGACATACATAAAAATGAAGTTTGGATAGATAAAAATGTGAGCAATCTGTTTTAAATTATTGCTTTTTCAAAGCCAAAAATTATTTTTTAAAGGTATATATTTTTAAATTTAAGTGCTAGCATTTGGGAAATACACTTTTTTTTTTTTTTTTTTTACAAGAAGTCAGCTGATTGTCTTAATGCATGTATTAGAGATACGAAAATGTCACTTTACCTGAGTCCATTTTTTGGTGCTATTCTGCATCTGGATGGCTGCAATACAGCTGAACAGTTTTTCTGATGTGATATCATCTGGCAATTTAGTTAGAAACTGTGCTATATGAATAAAGTCCATCTGTAGCAGAATATCTTCATATAATCGGAGGATTCCTAATCCAGTCCTAAATAAAAATTCTTCCCCATCTCTACAAAATACATCCCAGACTCGACAGGCCAGATCAAGTGGTAGTGATTTGCTATACAATGTGAAGATCCTAAAATTTGAGAGGAAAATTGTCATTGAAATTTTTCATTCACTTGGTAAGCATCTTCGTAGGAAAAGAACAGTGCTTAATAATTAGGAATAAAAAGGTAAGATATGGCTTCTTTTTCTTAAGTAGCAAGAAATTAAATAATAAATAGCAAAAGTATGTAAATTTACTACCTTACATAGAAGAAAGGCTTAATACAAACTAGAGTGGTAGAACACCCTAGTAGTTAAGGGTATGGGCTCCAAATCGGGAGAGGTGGCTCACGCCACAAACTAGAGTGGTAGAACACCCTAGTAGTTAAGGGTATGGGCTCCAAATCGGGAGAGGTGGCTCACGCCTGTAATCCCAACACTTTGGGAGATGGAAGTGAGAGAACTGCCTGAGCTAAAGGGTTCGAGACCAGCCTGGGCAACATGGCGAGAACGTCTCTACAATAAATCAAAAAACTAGCCAGGTGTGGTGGTCTACACCTCTAGTTCCAGCTACTTGGAAGGTTGAGGAAGAAGGATAGCCTGAGCCTAGCAGGTCAAGGCTGTGATGGCCGTGAGCGTGCCATGGCACTCCAGCCTGGGTGACAGTAAGATTCTGATTCAAAAAAAAAAAAAAGTGTATGTGCTCTAAAACCAGAATGTTTGAGTTTGTATCTGAATTTGCCACTTACTAGTTGTGTTACCTTATTCAAGATATTTATCCTCATTGTGCTTCAGTGTCTTCATTAGTAAACTAAAGATAATAATACAACTTACCTCTCAGGATGACTCTGAAAACTCTGAACATAAAACAAGCAATAGAATAGTGATCCTGTCTGCAGTATACATGATTTGGCCTTTTTTTAAAAAAAACTAGAGAGAGGCTAAGAAATTAAGTTGTGTGTGGAAGCAGTAAAAATCTGAGCTAATCACGTATGTAGAAAGTCTATTTCTTGCATTTCTATGTGCTACATTTAAAAAAAATTAATAGAATACATAAGGAAAATCTGTGTCATCTTGGGGAAAAAAACAAAGCTGGATGAAGCCTTGAAAGAAAAAGAAACAAAGGCTAGGCACAGTGATTCATGCTTTTAATCCTATGCTTTGGGAGGCCCGAAGTTTGAGAAAAACAAATATAAAGCCCTTAGTAAAGAAACACTATCTTAAACCCTTGTGTGTCACGTATATCAAAACAATAACAACTAACTCAGAACGTTTGTGCTAGGCATTGAATGAGTTGTGCTAGACATTGAATGAGTTAATCCACATAAAACATTCTTACTACAACTCAAGATACAGAAATTATTATTCCCATTTTATCGACAAAAAACTGAAAAACAGAGACTCCAATTTCAACCCAGAGTCCATGTTCTTAATCAAATACATCCCCGCAAAAATGTGGTAGTTTCTCTATCTGTAAGGGAAGGTCTTTATATGTATAATCCTGCGCATGAGGTTTACTCTAGTCCCTAAAATACATGAAAAGTTATACTTCATATCCTCTTCATTATTATGTCATAACTTACCAGTCTATCAAGTATATATCTGGTGTAAGACTATAAGACTTGAAATGAAGAAATAATCTGGAGAGATTTTCTTCAAAGAATACTTCAAATGTTGCAAAATATTTCAACATCTACAGATGAAAAATCCACACAATTATGAAAGCACAAACTCTACAAATAGAGAAATTAAATCCTTAAACATTAACAGAAAATCCTGCTTATTAAGAATCTTTGAGTGTTCTGAGCAAGCATTCATAAACGATACTAAAAAGTTTATATTAAGTAGATTATCTTAGTCTTCTAATTACTGTTTTTCACTCTAATAGGGCATTCAGACTACAGAAACAAATGAAGGAAAACACAATCCATTCATACCATGCTGTGATCCACACGAAAAAAGGCCAATTGGCATGGCTTATTCAGGAGATTTGCAAATGCAATGAAGGCATCTGCCTCTTCCAAATTAAGAATGAGTACTGCTGCAATAAAGGACATTCCTTGGACCTTCAGAGAAAAGAAATTCATAAAAATGGACTTATAATAATAATTCTACAGCTTATTTTAGCGTACTTCTGAAAAATTACAAAGTGACATTAGAATAGAATTAACCAACATTTCTTTTCTCCCTCCCAGCAAAGGTAAATACAGAGAACTCTTAATAATTGTGAAATCTACCTAATTTTACATTTCCTGTTCATGAAGTATGGTTTAAGAAAATATTAGGGAACTTTTTGGAAAAAAAGAAAAAAGTATCGGTTTTTACTTGCTACAAATGCCTATCTCAGTATACTACCTATTTAGTTTTCATTTCCTCTCAGTATGAATTCTTTTGAAAGAGAGTATAGAATAACAAAATTTAATGAAAATCAAGTGACATTTATCTGAGTAGAAAATAAGGAACTAATAATAAAAGAGATCTATGAGAAATGCTTCCAAAATACCAAAAAAAGGAGGTTGTGGGGGTGGAGATAATGAGCCTGGATTCCTGAAAAAGCAGAAAAAAGAAATAGGTAAAAACCATTCCAAGATAGAAGAAAAGCATGACCAAAGAAGCATGAGCAAAAACATGGAAATGGGAACAACAGGACCGGCTCCACTGGAGCATAAGCTCTATAACGTGAATAAGCGAAGGTATTTGGAAAAAGCAGGATGTATTTATATTATGAAAGCACTAAGTAAAAGGCTCAGCTGTATGGCCATTTGCTTGTGTGTTACTGGTAGCTATCATACATTTCTTTAAGTAAAAAAAAGGTTATCAAGCACTTGCTTCTGGTAGTGATTTGTATAATGGACTTGCACAGGGAGACCACTAAGAATAACTGTAATGATAACTCTGTCTCTTTTCTTTCCAGTCAAATGTTTTGAAAGGAGTGCCTACGATCACCTTCTATTTTCTCAGCTCCCTTTTTACTCTTTAGCACACTTTAGTATGGATTCCCCCTCCATGACTACACTACCTTGAGATTTCTCTTGGGAGCAGGACCAGTGATATTTATTGTAAAGCTCAGGAGACAATAGCCTCCCCTCTAGCGTTCCCTTAGCTTCTGCCACCCAATTATTTCTTTCTTCTCATTCGATTTCTCTGACTTCTGACTACTCCTTGCAGATTCTACAGTAAGTTACCTATTGGATTCTCGAGAGAGATGTAGTAGGCATAATAATAACTGCCCCCAAGTACGTCCACATACTTATCCCCAGAACCAGTGAAAATGTTGCCACCCATACACAGCAAAAGGAACTTTGCAGATGCAATGAAGTCAAGGATCTTGGGATGGGAAGACTATCTGGTGGCCCCGATATAATCATCACATGGGTCCTTATAATTGAAGGGGGAGGCAGGAGACTCAGAGAGAGATGTAAGATGCTACGCTGCTGGCTTTGAGGATGGAGATAGAAGGCCACGAGCCAAGGAATGCTGGCAGCCTTCAGACAGTAGAAAAGGCAAGGAAACAGATTCTCCCCTAGAGCTTCTAGAGAGGAGTACAGCCCTGACAATACCTTGACTTGAGCCCAGTGAAATCTATTTCAGACTTCTGACCTCCAGAACTGTCAGATAATAAATCAAGTGATAGTGATTTATTATCTGGCAGTTTAAAGCCAAAGTGCTGTTGAAAGCAACTAAGTTTGTGGTAATTTGCTATAGCAACCATAGGAAACTAATGCAAACAGACTGTCTGTTCGTGAATATATTCCTAGTACCACAATATCTGCTGAATGACTACAAGGGGCATAGTGTTAACCATCTGTAAGGGTATCTTAGCAAAGCAAATAGAAGGGATTAAAACTTTAATTGAATTTAAGATGCTGCTTATTAAAAGTCACAGTATTACTTCACATACCACTAAAAAAGAGAAAAATGCAGCCAATTAAGCAAGGGCACAATGATTTATCACTTAGAGATTTTACTTCACGCATATTTATAAAGCTATTAAAGCTCATTTCGATTTATCATATATACTCTTATGCATACATAGTAGGAAAGTGAGATAAGCAAAGTCTTTTTTTTTTTGCAGTCTGAGTCTCACTCTGTTGCCCAGGCTGGAGTGCCATGACATGCTCATGGTTACCACAGCCTCAACTTGCTAGACTCAGGCAGGATCCTCCCACCTCAGTCTTCCAAGTAGCTAGAATTACAGGCACCCGGCAACCACGCCCAAATAATTTTTATATTTATTTTAGAGATGAGGCCTTGCCAAGTTGCCTGGGCTGGTCTCCAACCCCTGGGACTCAGGCAACCCTCTCAATCCCGGCTCCCAAAGTGCTGAGACTATAGGTGTGAGTCACCGTGCCTGGCACAACAAAACTATTTACAAGTTCTTCAGAGTCCAATTCTTCTGAATATTACTTATCAATTTACAGTGTGATGTACTGAAAAGGATACAGTGTTTATGTAGTATTCCTGTCAAAAATGCCTAGCCCAAGTCAACCATAAGAAAATAATCAAGCCGGGCTCGGTGGCTCAGCCTGAAATCCTGCGCCTTTAGGAGGCTGAGGTGAGTGGATTGCCTGAGCCCACGGGTTCAAGACCCACCTGGGCAGCGAGACCTCATCTCTACAATAAATCAAAAAATCAACCAGGCGTGGTAGCACATGCCTGTAATTCTGGCTACTTAGAAGGCTGAGGCGGAAGGATCGCCGGAGCCCAGCAGGTTGAGGTTGCAGTGGCCGGAAGCAGCCACTGCACTCCAGTCTGGGCGACAGAGTGAGACTCCAACTCAAAAAAAGAAAAGAAAAGAAAAGAATCAAACAAATACAAATCGGGGAGCATTCTGCAAACAATGAACTCTTGAAAAGTGTCATTGTCATGACACATAGAAAAGGCTCAGGCGCCAGGCGCGGTGGCTCAAGCCTATAATCCCAGCACTCTGGAAGGCCAAGGTGAGAGGATTGCCTGAGCTCAGAGGTTTGAGACCAGACTAGGCAACTTGGTGAGACCTCATCTTTACAATAATTTAAAAAAAAAAAAGAAATTAGCCGGGTGTGGTGGTGTGAACCTGTAGTTCCAACTACTTGGAAGGCTGGGGCAGAAGAATTGCTTGAGCCCAGCAGATAGAGGCTGCGGGGACCATGAGCATGCCACTGCACTCCAGCCTGGGAGACAGAATGCAACTCCAACTCCAAAAAAAAAGAAAAGAAAAGAAAAAAGGATCAGGAACTGTTCTAGGTTAAAGGAGACCAAAGACATAACTAAATGCCAAGAATCCATATAACCCTGATTAGAATCCACACAACCCTGATTTGATTCTGGATCAGCAAGAAACTACTGTAACTTTTCCATTAATTTGAAGCTATTCAAATAACGCAGGAAACAAACAAAATAAACACAACAAAAAGACCACTAAATATAGACCACTCAACTTAAGAAACAATACTCTGCCAGTTGAAGCAGCTGTGTAACCCATGCACTTCCTGTCAACTGAATTTTTTCTGTCTTCCTCTATTTCTGACTAGGACATGGGAGATATTCGGATTCCCCATTCTTTATTGTGCATGTAGACTTTCTTATACACACAGACTTTTCTTATCTTAGGGGTCTCACTGACAATAACTGTGGAGAAACAGAGACCTGCAACAAAAAATAAATGGGAGAAGTGACAAGTTTACAAAATTCTTAATATACTATCTGATTCCTGGTCCACAGTTTCTGACTCCACTTGAGATATGGGAAACTTAAGTTTGTCTTCTCACTTCTACTTTTATGATCTATCCAACTTTAAAGCCCCACCCCAGACCACAGCACAGGCCCACTTCACTATAAGTGTCAGAACATACAATCTAGGCAAAACAATAGCTACACCTCCTTGCTTAAAAAGAGAATGTGTGTATCAGTGAAGCTACAGATTGGTAGCACTCAAAACTGACCCAGTACTGCCCTATCCAGAAGCAATCTATAGCCATTTTCTCAGAGAGAAAAACTAATACAATTCAACAGTCAAAACAGTAGTGGTCTTAATCTAGGATAAGCATACCTTGGAAAGACATAAAGACTTTCCAAAAAGTACACTGTCGTAATTTTAAAGGAATTCATTTCTAGATCCTCAATGTACGTATGTTTTTTTTTTTTTCTTTTTTTGAGTCAGAGTCTCACTCTGTCATTCAGGCTGGAGGGCAGTGGCATGATCACAGCCACCAAAGCTTTGAACTGCTGGGCTCAGACGGTTCTTCCACCTCCAACTTCCAAGTAGCCAGAACTACAGGCATGCGCCACCAAGTTCTACTAATTTTTTTTTATTTATTGTAGAGATGAGGTCTCGCCAAGTTGCCCAGGCTGGTCTCGGAGCCCTGGGCTCAAGTACTTCTCTTGCCTCTGCCTACCATAAGTATTCTTTTCTAACATGATCTTCCTGAGAATGTCACTGCATTCACAGTAGCAAGTGAAAATCAGAGATGTCACCCCATTACAAAACTTACCAGGGTGAACTGCTCTGAGGCATGAAATGTGAAACAATGGGGATAGAAGAAAGCTTCTGGTTTTCTGTCATATGCTATATTAATATGTAAGACTGAATCCCATTATGCAGTAGAATAGGGATTAGTAATGAATGACAATTCATTGACCTCACCTCTTCTGTACCACATCTATTACCAAAGAATGCATAGCTCTTGAGGGAGATTCCCAGAAGAACAAATAAAAAGAACAGCAAAAGCAGTACAAAGTGGTGCCTATGGTTTTTAAAAATATAATAAATTAGGCTGGGCTCACACCTGTAACAGCAGTACTTTTAGAGGCTTAGGCAGGAGGACTGCTTGAGGCCAGGAATTTGAGACCAGTCCAGACAAGATAGCAAAACTCTGTCACTACAAAAAATAAAAATATTAGCCACCTGTGGTGGCACACACTTGTAATCCCAGCTACTCAAAGAGGCTGAGGCAAGAGGATGACTTTGTGCACAGGAGGTTGAGGCTACAGTAAGTGACAACACCAGAGCACTCCAGTCTGGATAACAAAACAAGACCCTGTCTCAATCAATCAATCAATACGGTATAACTGGAATGTGAACCAAGATTACAAAGTTTTTTCAAGAGTAAAATCCACAGATAAAATTTTTATATACCTTATTTACAGATTAAGCATGTATTACTCATAAACATGATTAAAAACCTATTTGGTCAAATCACAACATGAAATAGTTATTCTAATATAGTCTACACTATTCTTATAAAGTAAGTTTGATTTGACTGACTGGTTTGCCAAGGAGCCTTGACACTAATGGTTAAGTTATAAGGAAGTTATTTTACATAAATTAAACTATATAATAATCAAAGCAAACATACAATGACCAAATCTGCAGCCAGGGTAAAGAAAACAAAGTGTTGAAAACATATTCTAAAAAGTATTATCACAGAATAATAGGATCAATATTTTAATTTTTTGAATATATCAGGTTAAACAAGATACCTTTAAATGAACGTATAAAAGGTATAATTAATAGATTTTTTTAAAAACTAGTCTACAATGTCAGTAACAGATATTTTGATTAGTCTTAATAAAGCCTTTTTGGTATGTTTCCTAGAAACTGAGAAAGTGAAAAATTCTAATGATTAGTAACAAATGTTTTGGGTTTTCTGTTTTGTTTTGTTTTTGTTTTTTTTTTAGCAAGAGTCTCACTCTGTCACCCAGGCTGGAGTATAGTAGTACACTCATGGTCACTGCAGCCTCGACCTGCTGGGCTCAGGAGATCCTTCCACCTCAGTCTTCCAAGTAGCTGGAAACACAGGCGCGTGCCACCATGCTCAGCTAGTTTTTTCTTGATTTATTGTAGAGATAAGATTTTGCATGTTGCCCAGGCTGGTCTCAAACCCATGGGCTCAGGCAATCCTCTCACCTCCGCCTCCCAAAGTGCTAGGATTATAGGCGTGAGTCACTGCGCCCAGCCTAGTAACAAATGTTTCTGTAAGTCAAGTAGTTAGCAGTCTTCAATTTTCAATAAAATTGAAAAATGTCAAATATTTGAGGTGGTAGATAGGTTAATTCACTTGTTTTAATTATTCCACACTGTATCAAAAATAATAACATCACTGTGTACCTCATAAATACACACAACTATAATTTACCAAGATACAATTTAAAATTTTTTAAAACATGCAAGTTCAGAGAAAAAGCAAAAATATAAAATTTAAAGAAGGGCTTGTTAATAAAGTTCTATTTGAATAAATGATGATAAACATAAAATCCTTAGAGTATTTAAATTTCATTTGAGACTTTTTTTTTTTTTTTTTTTTTTTTGAGTTGGAGTCTCACTCTGTGACCCAGACTGGAGTGCAGTAGCTGCTTCCGGCCACCGCAGCCTCAACCTGCTGGGCTCTGGCGATCCTTCCGCCTCAGTCTTCCAAGTACCTGGAATTACAGGCATGCGCTACCATGCCCGGCTGATTTTTTGATTTTTATTGTAGAGATGAGGTCTCGCCAAGTTGCCCAGGCGGGTCTCGAACCCGCGGGCTCAGGCAATCTACTCACCTCAGCCTCCCAAGGCGCGGAATTACAGGCTGAGCCACCAAGCCCAGCCGAGACTTTTTTTTTTTTTTTTTTTTTAAGAGACAGAATCTCGCTACTTTGCTCAGGCTGGTCTCGAACTCCCTAGGCTCAAGCAATCCTCCTGCCTTGGCCTCCCAAAGTGCTAGGATTATAGGCATGAGGCACCTTGCCTGGCCTTCACTGGAGACATTTTTAAAGGGATATAAGATGTCAATATTTAACCAGTACTAAAATTAAATCCTTTACAATTAAACTTACAATGGAGACATTTAAAGGTCAACTTAAACATTTGAAAGGGACACATACTGTTTTTACAATGCATTTACAGAATATGTGAGCAAGAGACTTTAGAGACTCTGTGCTCAAACAGCACTTTCTCCACAAAGACTATCTGACCACTAAATACTACAACCTGCTATACCCCAAACCTGGAATTGTCCCCCTTTGCCATGCCATACTTTTTCCATTGCACTTATCTTTTAATATAACATGATTTACTTATTCAAGTTAATACTTCCTTCTTCTAAGCTATCAGCATCATAAGGGGAGAAATCTTCCATTTACTAAGGTCTCTGAAGTGCCTACAGCAATGCTGGCACACAGCTATAAGCAAACGATGAATGTGTGCTGAGTGAATGGATAAACAAACATGTAAAGTAACATGCAATAGAACAACGTAAGTTGTACCAGACAGACACCCTCTAGTGAGGTCTCTAAAATTCTTCTATTTTAAGGCAAAGTTGAGAAGATAAAGGTTTTATGATTTCTAGTTAAAAATGACAATTGAACATTCATATTTTCTTGGATCCCTCCTAAAATCCAACATAACAGTAAAGAAAAAATAAGTATTATCCTAGGATGACAAAAAGAATGAAATATAATATAAACAGTAGATAAATGATGTCAATAGCATTTTAGAAGTTTTAATATAAGTAAATGGAGAATGTTGAAACTAAAACATCTACAGAGGAAAAAGCTAATATGCACCAAGTCAATTCAACCATAAAATCCTGGAAGGCTCAGGAATTGAAGTTTTAAGGTTCCACTAAAATTGAGGGGAAGGGCTAAAAATAGCATGGATTTAAAGTCTGTAAAAGGAGATGATTTCCTCTCCTATTCTGTAGGAACAAGTGCCTATACTTTCCTTAACCTGGCAGAACATGAAACCTTTATTCTCTAGAAGCACAGCGGGGAAGACAGGGTTAGGAAGGGGGGATAAGGCACAAGACCGACAGCAGGGCATTAAAGGTTTACAAATTGCATGGTGAAATCCCCTGCGGCTCTCCCAGAAATCTAGCAGTCATATAAGCTTCCGGCAAGAGGTAGAAAGATTCTTCTCTGCGTCAGTTAATATGACCAAGAAAAAAAAAAAATCAAGAGATACAAACATTTGGGAGCTAATACAACATAAGATATTTTGGTTAGAGTGTAGATAAAATGTTTATCTTCAAAAAACAGATTGAAACAAATACTTACATAACCAACATCAGGTCTGTAACATGTATATGCCCCTAAGATGCTATGTAAGACATCATGATATGGTCCACCCTTAGGAGAGAAAAATAAAATGTGAAACTATATACAAATAATTGTCTCTAAGTTAATTCTCATGTAGCATGTCAATAAACTGCAGCATTTCCCAAATGACTAGTTGCAATGTATTTAACAATTGTCAAAAATATCCTAAATGTACTCTGCCAAGACATTTTCTAAATTATGAATAAGAAACATTTAATCTTCAACAACAAAAAAAGCCAATTTCATTGATGAATATAAGCTATATAGTTTGCAAACAATTTTAAAGACATCTAAATTTGGTACAATTAAGAATATGATGAATACAGATTCAGTTTATATAATACAATGTCAGCAGGCGAAAACCATAAAGCTACACTAAATTCTTCATGACAAGCATTTTTATCTAATTTTATTTTTATCCATCTAAAGACAGAAGAATTCCATGTATAAAGACTTGACTTTGCCCAGTGTAGCAGCACCTGCCTATAATTCCAACTACTCCACAGACAGAAGTGGCCCAATCACTTGAGCCCAGGAGCTCGAGTCCAGCCTGGGCAACACAACAAGATGCTGTATCAAATTTTAAAATAAACAAATATAAAGTAAATATAAAATGCAATCATTTCTAATAAAGTATAAACAGCTTCATTATAGCCTCTAAATAAAATAAAAATGATTTATTCCTGTTTCAACAGTAATTCTAAACATTTCAAGTTTTGTGACACAGTTCTTTCTATTTCAACAATTTACTAGGCAAAATATTAAGAATTCAAATAGCTTACAAAATAAAAATTAAAACAAATTTACTTTAATAAAACTTCATCAAGTACCTACAACATAAAATATATGCTATCCTAACAACAATGTATTTCAGTTGGTGGAATAAAATAAATTTTTTAAAAATTTTCCTACTAGTTTTAGACTTTTTATATAAATGCCCCAATTTATATAGTTTTGGCTTTTTAAAAATAATAGCTACACATTTAAAGAATCTGTTCTCTTGGATATTACAAGAGGTTTCTGTTTTTGGTTCTTTTAAGTGGCTACAAGGCAGTTAGAAACCCTCACCTTCTGAAAGATGTATAGAGATGGAAATGTACGGGATATATCCAACTTAATTAATTCCAGACTGGCCTCTCGATCAGCAACAGATACACCTGTTTACCAAGTAGATAAAATGTATATGATCATTTGGCTGCAACATGTTCAATTTTATAAATACAGAATGATCACGTAGCATATGTGTAAAGTAAAGCTGAAAGCTGAATAATCAAGAAATTACAAGAAATGTCACAGAGCTCTTGCTAGAATTTAGAATCTCTTATATGAAGCAAACATTTATACATTTATCAGTAAGTTATGTGGTAAAGGATTTCTACTTCCAGTCTTTATATAAGATAGGGGCAGACCATCAGTCCTATGGTAACACTAGAGAAAAAAATAACTGCAAGTATCACATTTTAAAAAATCATCAGAGAGCTATGGGTACAAAGAGATTAAGAGGATTTAAATTCCAGAAAGTGAAGAGCCTTTACTAGGTGATTAGATACCACTGGCCACTTTTCTTCCTAGAAGCATCTGCCAAGTCTGGGCATGGGTTTAGGATCCAGAAGAGCTTTAGAGGGCTAAATGAGACATGTAATAGAGAGGGATCTGAAGGTGCCCTGAACAAATAGCCAGTTTTCCCCAATGAGATTTTTCTGAGTGCAGAAGGCTGAGCCAAAAAGAGAGAATGACATCACCCAAAGTCTCACAGTCCTTGGGAGAGCATCTTATTAGAAGGAGACACCTGTAATCAAAACAGGACAGTTCTTCCCATCAAGAAATTTGAAACTGTGGATAAGCTAAATCTATCTAAAGTAACAACTGTGCAGTAATCTAGCTCAAGTACTGACTTAATTGAGGTGATAAACCCCTAACCCAACCAACCGCCGATCAGGAAACAGCATGCTTCTTCTGAAGGGGAAACCTCAGCTTCAGTTTCTATATTCTTTTGTGTGTGTGTGTGTTGGAGTCTCACTCTGTCACCCAGACTGGAGTGCAGTGGCACGCTCCCAGCCACCACAGCCTCAAACTGTTGGGCTCCGGTGATCCTTCCGCCTTAGCCTTACAAGTAACTGGAACTACAGGCACATGCTAACATGCCCAGCTAATTTTTGATGTATTGTAGAGACAAGGTCTTGACAAGTTGCCCGGGCAGGTCTCGAACCTGCAGGCTAAGGTAATCCACTCGCCTCGGCATCCCAAAGTGCTGGGATTATAGGCTGAGTCACCAAGCCTGGCCTATATTCTTTTTATAAACAATGTCTGGCATAACAATTTAAACATTTAAGAAATGTAAACAAGCAGAAAAATGTGATTTATATTCAAGGGGGAAGACAGCCAATAGAAGCAAACTTGCAGATGATGCAATATTGGTATTAACAGACAAGAACAATATCTGTTATAAATATGTTAAAGAAAATAGAGGAAGAGATGGAGGAAATGTATGGAATGAAAAGATAAAGAATTTCAGCCGGGCTCCGTGGCTCAGCCTGTAATCCCGCACCTTTGGGAGGCTGAGGTGAGTGGATTGCCTGAGCCTGCGGGTTCGAGACCCGCCTGGACAGGCGAGACCTCATCTCTACAATAAATCCAAAAAAAAATTAGCTGGGCGTGGTAGCACGCGCCTGTAGTTCGGGCTGCTCGGAAGGCTGAGGCGGAAGGATCACCGGAGCCCAGCAGGTCGAGGCTGCGGTGTCCGGGAGTGGCCACTGCACTCCAGTCTGGGCGACAGAGTGAGACTCCAACTCAAAAAAAAAGAATTTCAACAGAGAAATAGAACTTATAAAAAGAACTAAGTGTTCATTCCACAACTACAAAGTTTAACATCTGAAATTAAAAGCGCATTGGACAAATTTAATGGTAGACTGGACAGAGAAGAAAAACAGATTAGTGAACTTGACTATAGATCAATAACGATCAGAGAAACTGAAGCAGAGAGAGAAAAAGAATCGGGAAAAAAAAGTGTATGAGGCTTGTGAAACACCATAAAGTGGTCTATCATACATGTAACTGGAGTCCTAGAAAGAGAAAAATCAGGATCAGGGCAGAAGCAATATTTGAAAAGATAATGGCCAAAAAGTTAAATAACAACTGCAAATGTATAAACACTGAGGAAATAAGAAAACAGTAATTGAAACAGAACACTGCTTCTGACTGGAACTCTTCGTTACATTCAATTCATTTACACTGAAGTGCAATTTTCACCATCTATTCATGACACAATGTCTCAGAAGTAAATGCACATAATTCTTACATTTTGAATACTTCATAAAAATGAATTTTAAAAGAATGATGAAACAGCTGATGTCCTGCCATAAAACTTCTTCACCCTCTGTGTACTTTCAGTTCTCCACAAATAGCTGACATGGCTACCAGGCTTCGGGAAGATACTTAACAGGAACCCTTCTGGAAATCAAGTGTTCTCTCTAACCTTGTTTAGTCAGTTTTCCCTACCCTAACGTTCATTGTTCTAAAACAGAAAAAAAAAAGTTTTCAAAGAATTTGACAGAGTTGTTTATGTACTCACTGAAAACCACTAAGAAATATGCACTATTCTCCATCCAAAGTTTGTTCACTTTTTAGAGTTTTACTTATAGGTCAGAGAAGAGGGTGTGCAGAACAAATGTAGAAAAGTGGCTGGCAGAAAAACAGCTCCCCATTCTTCAAGTACAACAGATGACAGTGAATCATGAATGAATATGATGATTTAGGTAAATTAACTCAACCATCTAATTAATTATGATTACAAGTTATTTAACTACTTAAGTCTCAGTTTCCTTATATGATAAAAGATATAACTACTAAAAGCATTATTAAGATTAAGTGAGACAATATAGGTAAGGCAATCACTACAGTTCCTAATATATGGCACAAACTCAGGCTATTATCTTCAGTAGCTGGATTTTTACCTTGAAATTCTTATTTTAAAAAAAAAAACACACCTTCTGTATCATTCTCTGAACTTGTTTCACGGAAGCATTTCCACCGTTCTTTTGCTCTTGAGAGGAAAATTTCATATAGTTCTAAGGGGAAAAAACAAAAATTCATAAATAATAGGAAATACATATATCCATAAATTTTTATTTTTCCTCTTTATCTATTATAGGTCAGTCTCCCTGATGTAGCAGGTATCAAAAAAGTGGCAAATTTAAGTACATGACTCAATCAAAACTATTGATTATACAACTAGAAGATAGCAAATAAAAATATGCAGAGTAATCATCTAAGTAGTTACAATACAGAATGTATTATGATGCTAGAAGAGATGATTCTGCTAAAAAAGTACATTGTGGAACAGCAGAAACATGATTTCTGGAGTCAGTCAGACCCAGATTCAAATTCTAGCTCTGTCACTTACTACCTGTGGGACTCCAAGAAAGTTACTTAAACACTCTGGAGCTTGGTTTTCTTCATCGGCAAACTGGAGAAAAATAACACCTATTCACATGGTTACTGATGATTAAACAAGAAAATTTATGTAAAGCTTCTGGCAATTTATAGTCCCTCAACAAATGCTAGTTCTTGCTTTCTATTGCCCCTGGAACTTGTTTCTTCATTATAATACTGCTATCTAAGACTACCTACACATCACACAGATTTGGTTAAAGGGTCTACATAAAACTTTTTTATTTAAGTGCTCAGTCACTGTGCCTCCATATCCACAATCTCATAAAAACTTAAGAAACAGAAAAGACTGAAAATTTTTTCTCAATTCTCAAATTTTAATTGTCTTTACTTTGTAACTAATCATTACAGATATTTGAAATTACATAAAAATAGTACATTTCAGGGACAGAAGAAGAGCAAAAAGTATTTCTTGCCAAAACACTAGCATTTATAATTTCCAAAATAAAGAACATTTTTGCTCCAATTAATTCTTAAAAATGCATTTATATAATATAAGAACATGGTTTTTTAAAAATTCAACTAGTACAAAAGAGTATAGAGTACAAAATAAAATTCCTTCCCTCAGATGCAACTACGGTTACCAGAATTCTCATGAAGTCTTCCAAAAATGAAAATATACATGCACGAGTATATACATATCTGTATTATCTTTAAAAAAAAACAAAGTGGCAACATATTAAATGCACTCATCTGTATCTTACTTTGTTATACTGGAAGTCATTCCATAGTAATACAGTCCTGTTTTCATTTTTTAAACAACTGCACAGTATTCCAGTATACAACTGCACCATAGCAAGTATGCTTATACGGCCAAGAATCAGATAACAAATCACTAATAAGAGATTTTTCAAACAGTATCTTCCTACTCTAAACTCATCTCTGTTCTATGTACTTTTCATTACCACTAATGGTTTGGGAAAAAGAAACTTTAAAAAAAAAACAAGTTTAAAATTCCTATTATTTGTGCCCAACTCCATCAATTATTTGGTAGGAGAGGTGAATGCAATTTTAAAATGTATATATACAATTATTTGGGGGTTATCAGGAATCAAATTTTAAGTCCACACTTATTTCCTTCAAACTGTTTCTAAGCCAGTTGGCTTCATTATTCTACCCAAATTGTAAAACTGTTCAGCAGACAGATCCATCTCTTTGGGAAGTCATAAAACTGACCCAATAGTAATAATGTTGTAACGCACTTCAAAACATCAAGGAATATCTCTTCAGGTAAGATTTACAGTGCTGATCTCAAATAAGAAGGTCTGCGTTTCAATTCAACTCCATGCTTGGCTCCTCATGTCACACTTATTTTATTTTGAATCTATAAAGGGAAAGCTTGAAGCAGGTTTCTATATGGTACTTTGGACTTGAACAGAGAATATTTGAGTTTAGTGTATGCTTCACTTTTTGATTTTATGACAATGATAATATTATATACACTCTCAGCAAAATGTGCTTTCACTGTAATTTTACAGTATCACAAAAACTGTTAAAAACAATTAATCCTTTTATTTTCTTACCCCATTTTACAGATGAAGAAAACTAAGACTTCTAGATGGTAAGTAATTTGCCCAAGATTACAAACCTAATATACATAGTGGAACCAAGATTTGAACTACATTTGACTGGCTTTAGAGCCCTTACTCTTAGCTACTATTCTCTAGCAGTTATAATTTAATTATTAAAACAAATACAATGCGAAGTCAAATTACTAAAGCCAATCAAAAGTAACACAATTATCAAAGATAAATTTACTTCAATCAAAACTCCATCACTAACGAAAAAGAGAATCAGTACAAATTCCATTCCTGAATGTATGTTTAGTGGCTAAAACTTAAAATTACTTTGAAAACAAATGACCCACTTATGTTACAAAACTTTATAAATTTCAACCTTAAGGAAAACCTTTTGTTTAGAGAACATTAACACCAATTTAACCAATATTTCAATGACTAAGTTGTCAAGATACCTCTAAGCTAAAGTTATCAATAAAAAGAAAACTGTAAACAAAACAAAACTTCAAATAACCACCACCACCTCATTACTTCATTTGTATGCAAAACTGATTCTTAAAACTTGAAGCAAATACAATATATTCAAAAATCCTTAATAGTAAAGATTTTTAAAGTCTAACAGAAAAACAATGCAAAAACACTTCCTTTGAATGTGTTCCAAACACAAACGCAAAAAAACTTTTGTTTCTATATGGAGATCAGTAAAATCATATAAAAACTACCTTTTCTAAATTAAGTCAAAACTCTTAATTTTTCCTTTAAATAATATATTTCTAGAAGTTTTTTATTACATTCTCTTTGTTAAAACGTTTATTACAGGATACTTTTGAAAATTAGTTTTTAAAGTCATATGTAATCATGATATCCAAAGTTGGTATCACTTTTAAGACTAAACATAAACAGACAATTTTTTGTTATACTTCTTTCCAATTATATATAATGCTGATTGCTACAGTTTTTCCATCTAATCCTGACTATATTTCCTTAGAGTAAATTCTTAGAACTAGAATAAATAGGTCAAATGTTATGGTTTTTTGAGACTTCTTGTAATTGGGTAATTCTCATTCATTTTAATCTCTTTTAAGGGATGAAAAATAGAGTTTCAATGTTCTTTTAACATATGTCTTTGTTTATCACAAGGAAAATAGTTCAATGCATGGCTGAACTATAAGAGCAAAAGTGTGTGATACTATGTAGCTATACTACATAAGAGGTAGATGGGTACGCACTGATGTGGAAGGATGGTTAAAGATAGAATACAGTGTGAAAAAAGTAAGCCACGGAATAATCTTACCACATCAGCTTGTGGAAAAGAATAAAAGAAAAAGAAAAGTCTTAAGAATGATCATATGTATCAGTAAATGGAACATGATTGACATGAAAAAATGAAAAAATTACTATATGGAGATGCAAACTTTTTATGTACATCAAAAAAAATCCGAAAGCACATACACCAAATTGCTAACAGTGCTGACAGCAGAATCAAGAGTAGGAGTTTGGATGGAAAAGTAGAAGAAGCTTGAATTTTTTTCAATAACTATTTCAAAAATTTTAGGATGACAATATGTTATTTGAAGTATTAGACTAGAGTCCCTAAGTCTTTCTGTAGTGCATTAATACTATCAGACCAAGTTAGCACATTTTATTAACTCTTTATTTTCCTCTATTTGATACTATCCTAATTTTACCTAATTTTTAGAACTTTATTTCTGTCAGGGTTTTAAGAAACTTAGTAGCTGGGCTCGATGGCTCAGCCTATAATTCCAGCGCTTTAGGAGGCTGAGGTGAGTGGACTGCCTGAGCTCGTGGGTTTGAGACCCACCCGAGCAACTTGGCGAGACCTCATCTCTACAATAAATCAAAATTTAGCCGGGAGTGGTAGGACGCGCCTGTAGTTCCAGCTACTTGAAAGGCTGAGGCAGAAGGATCGCCGGAGCCCAGCAGGTCGAGGCTACAGTGCCCAGGAGTGTCCACTGCACTCCAGTCTGGGCGACAGAGTGAGACTCCAACTCAAAAAAAATAAAAATAAAAGAGAAACTTAGTAACTCCTTGAAAGTCTTACTTTTTGTTTTATAACTTAAAAATTTTTAATGTAAAAAAAATTAAAAAGGAATGGTTTATGTGGAGAGGTAGGAAAAGAAATTTTTAGCCTTCCTCCAGTATTTTTTTTGGCATGAAAGGTAAGACTTTTCAAAGCTAGACTATTTTTTTTGTACTCACTCATCCACTGTCATGCAGAATTCCAGAAGTTTTTGATATGCTGAGAATATTACTGATAGTTGCAAACTAAAGGAAAAACTACAACTCTTACTTATATACAATATAATAACATTAAATCATAAACAGATTTGGAGGAAGATGAAGCATTCTCTTAAAATGACATTAGATACGGTAATGCCTTTTTAAGTGGCCACTCTACTAATCTGCTTTGTTAACTCTGGAGACGGCTATTTGTACATGTGGGAGTAACTGAACACAGAATACAAACCAGGAGTGATATTTAGTTCATTTCCTACAGCTAGACTCCAAACTTTCCCACGAACACTAGGGGGCAATCCCTGCCACCACAATTCTCGAACTCTTCTTGTACTACGCCTAGAATTAAAGGAGGAGAAAAAAGGAGAAAGTTACTTTTTATACCAAAAATGCTAGCTGCATGATGGTTTATCTAGTCTATAGCCAAGTAATCAAATGATTTTTAAGAATATGGAGAATTAAGTATGTTATGTATTCCTTCCTTTGGGTTCAGACTTTCAGGCAATAAAGGCCTACAAAATATATAGTACCCCCTATAGTACCCCAAAGACAGACAACAGCAATTTAAAAGGAACTGCCTGCTATAAATGTCACTTATACTAAGAATTCAATAGAGAATCAGAAATATGTGGACAATTATAAAACAAGAGGATAAAAGAGACATCAAAATGTATTGCCAATTCAGTGCCAAAAAACCAGATCACAGAGAATCTACTACGGGTTAAGGCCCTAGTCCTTGAAAAGCAGTATAGTGTGCCAAAAGATTGTGGGCTTTAGAGTCAGATAGATCTGAGTTCAAATCTGGTAACCATTTATTAATTGTATAACCTTGGGCAAATCACCTAACCTCTCTGACTTTGAGTTTCTCTATAAGACAAATGGGAATAAAAATACATACACCTTGTGAAAGTTCCAGGAAATGTAATTACTTATGTAAATAGCCTCATATAATATCCATCACCTGTGACAATATACAACAAACTTTCAAAGTACATCCTATACTAGGCATTGCAGAGGCTATCCCCAGTCCTCCAGTCCAGAGGGAAGATACAACATATACAAAAAAACACAGTGAAAAACTAAAAGGCAATAAAAGAGAAAGAAATTATCTCATTTGCAACAACATAAATGAACCTGGAGAATATGCCAAGTGAAATAAACTGGACACAGAAAGACAAATATGTAATATCACTTATATGTGTAATCTAACCAAGATAAACTCATAAAAGTAGAGAGTAGAACAGTGGTTACTAGAGGCTGAGAGAGGGAGGTGAGTGTAGAAAAGGTGGATGCTGACGAAAGGGTACAAAGTTTCCATTAGAAGACTAAGTTTTAGTGATCTACTGCACAGAGTAGTAACTATAATAAACAATAATTCACTGTATATTTCAAAATTGCTAAATGAATATTTTAAATGCTTCACCTTAAAAAAGTGGCAAGTATGAGAGCTGATGGATTTGCTAATTAGCTTGCTTTAATTCCACAATATAAACATAAAATACCACATTGTACCTATACAATTATTGTTAAAAAGAGATATTGGAAAAAAATAAACAGCAAAAGAAGTATATTCATCTCAAAGTATACTGATGGAAGATTTACATAAAGAAAATATCATATATAATGTATTTCCTTCATTAGGAAAAAAGCATTTTTAAAACTATAGTATTGGCCAGGCGCAGTGGCTCACATCTATAATCCAAGCACTTTGGGAGGCCAAGGTGAGAGGATTGCCTGAGCCCATGGGTTCAAGACCAGCCTGGGCAACTTGGTGAGACCTCATCTCTACAATAAATCAAAAAATTAGCCGGGCAATATGGCACTTGCCTGTAGTTCCAGCTACTTAGAAGGCTGAGGCTAAAGGAACACCTAAGGCCAGCAGGTCGAGGATGCAGTGGCCGTGAGCATGCCACTGCACTCCAGTCTGGGTGACAGTGAGAATTCCAACTCAAAAAAAAAAATCTTTACTATTAATACATGCATTTTACAAAGCATGTACATATTTAATATTTTTTTTCTAAATATCTGCTATTACATCAACAGTATATCTTACAATGGACGGTATGTTAGATTAAAAAATGGAGTAGTGAGGAAGAAAAGTTTCATAAATCAATTCACATTTCAGTTGGGTCTCAAAGAACAGGTAAGATTTTTTTTTTCTTTCCTCAAATCTGAGTTTCACTCTGTCACCCAGGATGGAGTGCAGTGGCATGATCACGGCTACTGCAGTCTCAACCTGCTGCACTCAGGCAATCCTTTCACCTCGACCTTCCAAGTAGCTGGGACCACACTACGGGTGCAATACCATGACCAGCTAATTTTTTAATTTATTGTAGAGATGAGGTCTTGCCGTATTGCCCAGGCTGGTCTCGAACTCCTAGACTCAGGCAATCCTCTCGCCTTGGCCTCCTAAAGTGTTGGATTACAGGTAAGCCACTGCACCTAGCAGTATAGATAAGATTTTGACAGGTATAAAGGATGGTCAGTGAAGGAAGTAGGTAATAAACACTGAGGGATTTATAAAAGCAAAAGCACAGAGGTAAACATGGAAATTTTCAGGCACTGGATAATAGTACAATTTAGCCAAAGCATAAGATACAAGCTAGGAAGCCATAAAAATATAGAATTGGAAACATGTAATCTTTGGAGACAAACTGGAATTCAGGAAAATCTGCTTACTTACATTACTTCCCAATTGGGCAGTATTTCATTAATCCAAATTACCATTGCACTTGCAATATTTTCTTCCTGTTTAAATCGTTCTTTCATTATTCTTTTTCTTTTATGTGCTTCTTTAATTTCTGTTTTAAACAAGTAAAAAGTATTTCAATACAAATGAGCTAGATCAAAGCCCCCTTCTCAAACTACCTAACTCTACAAGAGGCTTTCTCCAAAAGAATATTCTGATAAGAGGGAGGGAAGAAGAGAAAAAGGAAAATAAGCTTGATTAACATAATTTTCTTTTCTTTTTCTTTTTTGGTTGTTGTTGTTGTTTTAGAGATGGGTCTCCTCATTTTGACCAGGGTGGTCTTGAATTCCTGGGTTCAAGTGATTTTTCCTACCTCAGGCTTTCAAGTACCTGGGATTGCAAATGCGTGCCATCATGCCCGGCTATTAACTATATCACATATTTCTATTTATACTTAATCTGTACAATGAAGCTTGTTATGAATTAACTAAAAAAAAAAAAGCTGTGGACAACTGACCAATGCTCATTTTTTTTTTCTTTTTGAGTCAGAGTCTCACTATGTCACCCAGGATGGAGTGCGGTGGTATGCTCACAGCCACCGCAGCCTCAATCGGCTGGGCTCAGGCAATCCTTCCACCTCGGTCTTCCAAGTAGCTGGAATTATAGGTGTGTGCCATCACACCCAGCTAATTTTTTGAATTTTGTAGAGACAAGGTCTCCCATTATTGCCTAGGCTGGTCTCAAACTCCTGGGCTCAAGCAATTCTCTTGCCTCAGCCTCCCAAAGAGCTGAGATTACAGGTGAGAGCCACTGCACCCAGCCTGGACAACTCTTAATATGGTGTTTCACTTTATTAATTAGATGAAAATTTTAAAATATTCCCCAAAACACATATACTAACAACACACCTCTAAAAATCAGAGATCACAATTCCGGAACAAGAGATGCCTAAAATATGGAGGGAAATGACTTACAAGTCATAAGTTATACATATAATTTTAGAACCAGTAAGGATATCAGAGATCAGACAGCTAAAATGATCTTAAAATATGTTTCACTTATGCCTCAGAACCCATCCTGAAGGACAGGTAGGAGGCCAAGTAAGTAGCTCCACTTTTTTTTAAAAGAAGTACACAAAAAAACAATTTATTTATTTAAAAAATTGTATATTCTTACATGTCACCTTCAAAGTACTCTCCTCCTTTTGATGCAATATACCTATCAAGACACTTTTTCCTGCTCAAAGTTTCTGAACTTGTCAATTTTAATGTCTTTTAGTGTTTCTGCCGCTTTTGGTTTCACCTCTTCCACATCAGCAAAACATTTCCCTTTGAAGACTTTTTAATCCAGGGAAACAACAAAAAAAGTCACTTGGGGCAAGATCAGGTGAATAAGGAGGGTGGGGCATGGAGGTCATGCTGTTGTTGATCAAAAACTGCTGAACACTCAGCATGGTGTGGGCAGGTGTGTTGTCACAGTAGAAGTACCAATCACCTATATGCCACATCTCAGGAAGTTTCTTCCACAATGCAGCCTCTCACAACAATGCTAGGTAGTACACTGATACAAATGGGTACCAAGAACACTTGCCTAGTAGGGGAAGCCTGTACTACAAGGGATCCGCCCTCCAAAAGAAAATTCCAGGTGTTTGGGGTCCTCCAATGTATTTGTATTATATATTCAGATTCTATGCAAGATTTCTTGGGAGAAGGTTTTACAGATTTTATTTACTTGTTTATCTTGAATAAAAGTCTCACTCTGTCACCCAGGCAAGAGTGCAATGGCACGCTCATGGCCAATGCAGCCTCGACCTGCTGGGCTCAGATGATCCTTTCACCTTAGCCTTCCAAGTAGCTGAAACTACAGGCATGTACCACCATGCCCAGCTTATTTTTTTATTTATTGTAGAGATGAGGTATCGCCAAACTGCCCAGGCTGGTCACAAACCTGTGGGCTCAGGCAATCCTCTTGCCTCCGCCTCCCAAAATGCTGGGGTAACAGGCATGAGCCAGTATGCCCAGCAAGGTTTCATAGCTTTTAAAAGGAGTTGAAGGCGATTCTCAAAAGCGTTGATCAAGTTGACCCGACTCCCACACTTTACAGATGAGAAAATTAACATTAGGCCTATTCAGAATATCACACCCAGACAGTATCAAACAGAATTAAAGCTGTGACCTTCTGATTTCTCAGTTCAATATTACTTCTATCATATCATGTTTTCAGAATCATCTAGAAGCAATAACTCCCTTATATATTGATGAAATAATAAAGTCAATGTTAAGAGTGAATAAAAACATAATTAGGCATATTGAAATATGTTAAATTCTGTATAGCAAAATAAACTCAACTAATGTTCAAATAAGTATCTTTTAGAAAGATATAACTAGTCTTATGTATTTTATGTTTACTCTGACATTACAGAAGTAACATCATTTCCAAAACAGTACCATAAGGCAGAACTGTATACTATTACAATATTCCTCTTTTTTTTTTTTTTTAAGTCAGGGTATCAGTCTGCCGCCCAGACTGGAGTACAGAGGCACGCTGGGCTCAGGTAATCCTTTTGCCTCAGGCTTCCAAGTAGCTGGAACCATAGGCACACACTACCACGCCTTGCTAATTTTTTTATTTATTGTAGAGACGAGGTCTCACCAAGTTGCCCAGGCTGGTCTCGAACCCATGGGCTCAGGAAATCCTCTTGCCTCTGCCTCCCAAAGTGCTGGGATTACAGGCGTGAGCCACTGTGCTCAGCCCATTACAATATTCTATTCACTTAAGTCAAAGAAAAAAAAATGTAAGTTGTTAATAAGCTATATGTCTGAAAATATGCACATACTGCAGGATGAAGATAAGCAAAAATAATATGTAAATATATGTAAATATATTCAGCTATGCAGCATTTTCTCAAAATATATGTTTATCCTGAAATAATAATGGTCACTAAATAAATACTGTTAAATTATCCTTATTTTTTTTTAGATGGAGAAGAGATTGCATGAATATGTTAGTTTAAACATGAGTATGTATTTATGTGCCTGTCCAAATGACACAACTGGGACTCCAGAGAGATTCTGTAAGTCACAAAAACAAATTTTAGTTTCAAATCATGTTCTCACAGTCATATAAGAAAAAAGTATTAAGTTACAAAATAATTTTAAAAGATTGAAAATAATAATAAATTATTAGATTATAAAAAGTCAAAAGCCTAGAAAATATAAAAAGTGAAATTCATGAATACATTTATAAACATATTCATTTATAAATTAAGATAGTAGCTGTCCAAGTTTTATGGCTGCAATTTCAAGATTCCGCATATTAGTTTTGTTAAAGTACTTGCAAAAAACTATGATCTTGGCATGTCATTTTATTCTTCCTTTAGAACATATTACAAAAATAGTAGAGACAAATAAGAATTCGGTATCTTCTTGAAGATAGATTTGAACAATTTCACCATCCATCTTCCTGTTGAAATCAGAAAATTAACTATTTGCAGTTAAATTTCATACCTCGTTTTTTAGCCTCGGCTACCATCTCATCATATTCTTGTCGATGACGTAAAGCTTCTTCCACAGATTTGGCAGGAAGATTTCTGAAAAAAAATTACTTCAGTCAAGGCAATTTTTAAAAGGTTAACTTTTACACTTATTAACTCTTTTCTTTTTACAAACTGATACAAATAATTTCTAACCTAACCACATTTCACATATTAAGAAAATGAAAAGCTGAAAATCCAAGTTGTAAATATTTATTGTATGCATATGTATATATATTTTTATATCAGGTGTGTGTGTGTGTGTGTGTGTGTGTATCTCTATATATTTAAACATTTCGAATTTCACTCAATATTTTTAGGTAATTTGTTAAACCCACTTATTACACTTTTCTTTTTCAGTCAACTTTTTTGAGATGCAACTTACATACAATAAAATGAATAAACATATTATAAGAGCAGTATGATGACTTTTTTTTTTTTGAGTTGGAGTCTCACTCTGTCGCCCAGACTGGAGTGCAGTGGCCGCTCCCGGCCACGGCAGCCTCGACCTGCTGGGCTCCGGCGATCCTTCCGCCTCAGCCTTCCGAGTAGCTGGAATTACAGGCATGCGCTACCACGCCCAGCTGATGTTTTGATTTATTGTAGAGATGAGGTCTCACTGCCCAGGCGGGTCTCAAACCTGCAGGCTCAGGCAATCCACTCACCTCAGCCTCCCAAAGGCGTGGGATTACAGGCTGAGCCACCAAGCCCGGCTTGATGACTTTTGACAAATGTATATATCTGTATATCCAACACACCAATCAAGATAAAAACCATTCCCATCATTCCAGTTTCCTTGTGATCCATAAATACTTGTCCACCTCACAAAATCACTTCTCTTGTTTTTATCACTATGGTTTAGTTTGTTGCCTTCTAAATAATTTTATATAAACTCTTTGGTGTCTGACTTCTTTTGCTCAGCATATTTTTGAAATGTATTCATGTTGTATTAGAATGTGCTTCTTTTAATCGCTGAATAGTATTCCATGTATCCATGAATATTTGAGTTGTTTCCAGATTGGGGCCATTATAAATAAAACTACTATAAATATTAACATCAAGTCTTTGTATGGCCATTTGTGTCCACTTCTCTTCGGTAAATATTTGGGAGCAGATTTATTGAGTCATATGTTAAGTGCAGGAAAACCTTTATAACAAACTGCCAAACTGATCTCCATTTATTGGTTTTAAGAAAACATTTCAACTAAAAATCTGATAATTAAACTTTTACATATATAGTAGACTCCTCTTGGGAGTTATGTTCCAAGACCCTCAGTGAATGCCTAAAACCTCAGATGGTAACAAACCCTATACATACTACTAGGTTTTTCCTTATGATAATGCTTAATTTAATTAAGATTACATTAATCTGGTATAACATGCTGCTGTCAACTGGGACACATTTTTTTGTTCATGTCTTCTGTCCACAAGTTTAATGTCTTCTCTACCTTAACTAAACACTTATCAAGCACTGCAGTCCTAACTTTTGCAGTTGTTGATGCAAAGGAAAAGATCTTGAAGGAAATTAAAGGTGCTATTCCAGGGAACACACAAATGACAAAAAAGTGAAACAGACTTATTACTAATAAGGAGAAAGTTTGAGTAGTCAGGATAGAAAAATCAAACCAGCCACAACAGCCCCTTAAGTCAAAGACTAATCCAGGGCAAGGCCCTAAAACCTCTTTAATTCTAAGAAAGTTAAGAAAGGTACGGAAGATGCTTAAGAAAAACAGGAAGGTAGCAGAGGTTGGTTCATGAGGTTTAAGGAAAGAAGTCACCCCATTACATAAAAGTATAAGGTAAAGCAGTGCATGCTAATGGAGAAGCTGCAGTAAGTTATCCAGATAATCTAGCTAGGATCACTGAGCAAGGCAGCTACACTAGATTTTCAATGCAAACCAAATATCCTTCTACTGAAAGGAGGTGACATCTAGAACTTTCAGAGCTAGAAAGAGTCAATATGTGGCTTCAAAGGACAGGCTGACTCTCATTAGGGGCATATAAGCAGGGGACTTTAAATTGAAGCCAATGCTCATCGACCATTCCAAAAATCCTAAGGCATTTAATAATGATGCTAAATCTATTCTGTGCCCTAGAACAAAGTATGGATGGCAGCACATCTTCTTTTTTTTTTTTTTTGGAGTTGAATTCTCACTCTGTTGTCCAGGCTGGAGTGCAGTGGCATGCTCATGACCACCGCAGCCTCAATCTGCTGGGCTCAGGCGATACTTCCACCTCAACCTTCCAAGTAGCTAGAACTATAGGCACATGCTACCAGATCCGGCTAATTTTGTGATTTACTGTGGAGATGAGCTCTCACCAAGTTGCCCAGGCTGCTCTTGAACCCCTAGGCTCAGGCAACCCTCTCGTCTCAGTCTCCCAAAGTACTGGGATGACAGGCTTGAGCCACTGTGCCCAGCCTAGCACATCTTACAGCACAGTTTGCTGAATACTTGTAAGGCACAAAAGAAAAAGTCCTAAAGGCAACAAGAGAGAAAGGTCAGACTGCCTACCAGGGAAAACCAATCAAGAATAGCAGCAGACCTATTGGTAGAAACACTACAAGCTGGAAGGGACTGGAATCCAATATTCAAAATCCTCAAAGATAAAAAATTTCAACCAAGAATTTCCTACCCAGTCAAGCTCAGCTTCATCAGCAATTGAGAATTAAAATCCTTCCCAGATATCCAATCCCTAAGAGTAAGTTATGCAGCTTCCAAACCAGCTCTACAAGAGACACTTAAAAAGGTATTTAGTACAGAAGAAAAAAAGAATGACCACACACTTCCCAAGAGAACAGCAGAACACAGAATCAACAGAGAATACATCACGACAGCAAACTTGAAAACACACACAAACACCAACCCAAAAGCTAAAAGAAAACAAACAAACAGAGAAAAAACTTTACAAGAACCTCATGACAGGGATGAACAATCACATTTCAATAGTCAGCCTGAACGTGAATGGACTAAATGCACCACTAAAAAGACACGAAATGGCAAGCTGCATAAAAAACCATGACCCAATAATTTGCTGCATCCAGGAAACTCATCTCACAACAAGGGATGCATGCAGACTCAAAGTTAGAGAATGGAAAAATGAGTTTCCAGGTGAATGGATCACAAAAGAGGGCAGGAGTTGCGATCTTAATTATCAAGCAAAACAACCTTTAAGCTATCAAAAATTTTAAAAGATACAGAAGGATACTACATACAATAATAGGTTCAATCCATTAACCAGAAATATCCTAAACATATATGCACCCAACACAAGAGCACCAGTGTTTATAAAGTAACTACTAAGTAAACCAAAAAAAGAGACTGACTCTAGCACTATTGTACCTGGGAACTTAAATATCCCACTAACGGCCCCTAGATAGATCATTGAGGCAAAAAATAAACAAAGAGATCCGAAACCTCAACTTGACACTTGACCAAATGAACCTAATAGATACCTACAGAATACTCCACCCAACAACCAAAGTATATACATTCTATTCATCACCACATGGAACATACTGCAAGATGGATCACACCCTAGGCCATAAGTAAAGCATAAATAAATTTCATAAGGCCGAAATACTGCCATGCACTTCTCAGTCCACAGTGGAATAAAAGTAAATATCAACACCAACAAAATTCCTCCCAAAACCACAAAGACATGGACATTAAGCAGCACGATGCTGAACGACTACTGGGTCAACACAGAAATCAAAAAAGAAATTATAAGATTCCTGGAAGCCAGGCTTGGTGGCTCAGCCTGTAATCCCAGCACTTTGGGAGGCTGAGGTGAGTGGATTGCCTGAGCCTGCATGTTTGAGACCCACCCAGGCAACTTGGCGAGACCTCATCGCTACAATAAATCAAAAATTATCAGAAATTACTATGCACACCTGAATGGAAACAAACTTGATAACCTAAATAAAATGGAGGACTCTCTGACATCACACTACCTCCCAAGGTTGAAACAAGAAGACACTGAGACAAAAATAGATCAATAACAACCCAGGAAATAGATTGACTATGTCATGAGAAAACTACTTACAAAGAAAGGCCCTAGACCAAATGGCTTTCCAGTGGAATTCCACAAAACATGTAAGGAGGAGCTGACACCAATCCTATTGAAAATATTCCAGGCAATTAAGAAAAGCAGAATTCTCCCCAAATCAGTTTATGAAGCTAACATCACACTGATACTCAAACCGGGTAAAAAGTCAATAAAAAAAAGAGAACTACAGTCCAACATCCCTAATGACAGAAATGCAAAAATTCTCAACAAGATTCTAGCAAATCGGATCCAATACATATCAAAAATCATCCACCATGACCAAGTAGGCTTCATCCCCAGGATGCAGGGTTGGTTCAACATCCACAAGTCCATAAATGTAATTAAATACATCAACAGATGTAAAAACAAGAACAACATGATTATATCATTAGCTGCAGAAAAAGCTTTAATAAAATCAAGCATCCTTTCTTGATTAAAAACCCTCAAACACCTAGGAATAGAAGAAATATACTTCAAAACAGTAAGCAACATCTACGATAAATTCACAGCCAGCATACTGCTAAATGAACAGAAACTGGAAACATTTCCCCCGAAAATCTGAACAAGACAAGGCTGCCCACTCTCACCACCTTTGTTCAACACTGTGTTGGAAGTCTTAGCTAGAGCAATTAGATAAGGGAAGGAAATCAGGGTCTCCAAATAGGAAAAGAGGAAGTCAAGTTATCCTTCTTTGCTGATGATATGATCCTATACCTTGAAAATCCAAGAGAATCTGTCAAAAACCTGCTTTCACTAATAAAGGACTTTGGCAAAGTCTCGGGGTACAAAATAAATATGCAAAAGACAGTTGCATTCTTACACACTAACAACAAGCAGACAAAGAACCAAATAAAAAGCACAATCCCATTCACAACAGCCACAAAAAAATGGAATTTTTCAGCATCTTCCTAAGCAGAGAAGTGAAAGACCTTTGCAATGAAAAGTACAAAACATTGCTCAAAGAAATTCAAGAAGACACAAACAAATGGGAAAATATTCCATGCTCATGG